TTGGTCTGCCTTTCAATCACATCAAACAAGTAGTGAGTAATTTAGTGACAGCAAGGTAAGCTAAGATAGCTTTGCTATGGAGAGAAGTTTTGAAGTTGAGGACTTCTCCCCTCCTAACTGACTCGCCATCTAAAGATAATCTACTAATTCAGTTCTATGTGTAGGCTAAAGCTTGTGCTGACCTTGTGTTTAGCCAACCTAACAGCAGCTAGCTAGCTAGCATAGCTTGGGGATATTTATCTGTCAAATCATAGATATGCCATGATAGCAAGTACCAGTGTCTGGAATGTGTTTGAGACACGTGTTCTACAACACCTGGCTACGAAAGTAGTTTGCATCTTGAAGTTTTATCACATCATGTAAAGACATGTTACAGTGGAAACGAGATCAACAACTGCGAGTTTAATGCCTGGTCAAAGACAGTACAGTATGAAGATAGGCTAAAACTGCTTCTCCAATAGAGATCCCTGATTACGCTTGAAGGCAATGACATGGCGACGTTGGCTAGCTAAGCTCATGCGTAAAAACACGTCATTGGGTCTAATGATCGTCTCGCGCCAAACTGTGCATGTGCAAGCCGTCAAATCAAAGGCACTCCTTCGATAGGAAGTTGTTTTTGACTAAAATTAAAACATGTCAGTTTGTCATTTTCATGAGGTTGGAGTAATAACATGTTCAACTACTTAAGACATTGGCTCAAATCTATGTTGTGCCTTTAGATTTCGAGAAAATTAACAACTAAGGAATACTTTTTCACTTCTCTCATTGACTTCTCAAACCCCAAACCCCGGCCTGGTCTGTTTGGTCTGTTTCGCAATCGTTCCCAGAAGTCTTGCGATGTTGCGCCTCTGGGTTTAGAAACTCTGTGACCCGGTCTTCTTCAGTCAGCTCAGCTGTCAACACAATGTTCTGTAACTGGCAAGTTTTGTCTCGTCTCGTCTCTCCTTATGTCTGCAGTTAGATCTTTCCCAGGGGACAAATCCCATAACTAATATCTCTACAGGTTTAGGCTACATGTGGACATTGCACAAACATAGCCAGCTTGAGTGTAGATACATTTTTAAACAAACAACAATTGACAGGTGTGTTTGTGTTATAGCCAAAACATGTTCTGCTGTAAATAGGCTATCATATTGATTAGCTTATAAAGACAATATGCGTACACTTTACCTAGCAAATTAAAATAAGTTGTGTGTAGAGTACAACCACAGATAGAACAAGGAGCATAAAAATCTTTGGTACAACTTCAGCTGTCCCAGAACTAACATGGCATTATATTCTATTTACAGTTAAAGTCGGAAGTTTACATACACCTTAGCCAAATTCATTTAAACTCAGTGTTTCACAGTTCCTGACATTTAATCCTAGTAAAAATTCCCTCTTAGGTCAGTTAGGATCACCATTTTTATTTTAAGAATGTGAAATGTCAGAATAATAGTTATTCATGCGCAATTTGCCTAAATTACTAAATGTCGACAAAAGATCACTGGACAAGTTAGTGGAAACGTAGCTAGTGACATAATAAAGTAAAGTTGAGTTGAAACGATGGAGCAATTATTGGAAAGAGAACACATTGTGTCCTGGATGTATTTGTATCCACAATGACCTCTTTAAACAAATATGTTATATTTTTCCACTCCAATATATCCCCATTCTCACATCATTGAGACATAGTAGGATGAATGCCATGCTCCTATTGATCAACCCGGCAAGCCCTGTGCATCTGTGTACTGTGTTTTTGAGATGTGTTACTGTTTACCATGTCTTCCATTCAGTTATTCAGGGTGACATAAGGTATTGGAGTTGTTTCAGCAAGTGGATTGCCAGACCTTGAACAAAGTGTTCTTTTGGAATAGGCACGTTTTCGATCCACTGCATTCTCCATTAGCAAGACTGGCCAAGAAAAAAGTTTCTCTACATGTTTCTCTAGTGACATTTACATTTTAGTCATTTAGCAGACGCTCTTATCCAGAGCGACTTACAGCTAGTGAGTGCATACATATTTCATACTGGCCACCCATGGGAATCGAACCCACAACCCTGGCGTCGCAAACGCCATGCTCTACCAACTGAGCTACACGGGGCCTCAGTTAAATGTGTTTGCCTTCATGTCACTACACTGTGCTTCTTTTCACAGCACGAGTGCACATTTGATGGCATGTAAAAGGGGCTACTTCAGAAACATGTTTGTATTATTGGGTAACTCAACTGCACAATTCCATACAGAATATCGGCCTCTTTGGGCTCTTGACTGCCTTGATGAATCTTGTTCCTTCCTGAACCTACGGTCATTAGTGAAGCCTGCTGCTGCTTGATCTGACCCATCTGAGCTGCTGGAGGATGCAGACCTCCATAGAGAGAGACTAATACTGGTGGTTATGCTATGCACACTCACCCCACCCCACCCCACCGATAGACTTTGTTCGTCAGAGGTTTTTGGGAAATTGGCGTATCATTTTGCCAGTAAAGATTTTGGTTAAAGACCGCCTGTTCCTGCATGAGGTTTTGGGCAAAGAAAAACGTTCTGTTTCTCTATGTTTCCGGGAACTTGGAGCATATTTTTACCAGTAAAGTGTTTGTAAAGTGCTGATATAAAAAAACGAATAAATTGTTGGGAAATTATGAAAATACAATGTTCAGAAAATGGTGATATAATAATTGAGAAGCAATCATCATTTAGAATGATGGCCTAATTGATCTTTATTTCATCAAATTGATTCCCTGTCTGTTTTCTGAATTGGCAGGAGTGGTAATAACATTTCTCTAGGTTATAAATCATAGAACACTACCTTTTCATTTGTGGACAGAATGCACACTTTGCTGTGTGCTATCTCAGTCAATAGCTATAAATAGTCAGAGCAGAACAGAGGAAGGGTTTGGAAAATAAACATGGCAATTATGTTTTATGGACTGTCACCACTGCTCTGAAGATAAGATACTGTGGTCCACTGAGAACAATGTGCACAGTAGATTTCCTATGAAGAGAAAACATTTCATAAAGGTCAACTATGTTATGGAATATACTTTCATAATCTACTGAGTCCTGTAGGCTTGTGCTGCTGATTTATTTTCAGTGCAACAGTGAAAATCATTCAAGTTTGTGATTCTTATTTGTAAGAATCTTGCAAAGGGACTAGTTGTATCTACCTGCATCCATGCATGAGCAGCATCTAGCAAGGTTTTGTCAGTGTTATGAAAGAGAGGGCATTTTACATTAATGTTTTTCCTGAACAAAATGATCAGAGGTCAAAATGATTTGCAATGATTATGTCCAGTGGGTAGTCAGATGGTTTCTTGCACTGTATACCTTATCAGATAAGTGAACATTTCACTTTAGTTTTCAAAGTACATACAAGATAGTCACCACCATCCATGCCATTTATATGTATCCTTCCTCATATTAATAGCTTATTTTATCTATGGTCATACCAATTAGAAAATGACTGCCTCAAGCTTTGCTTACTCAGTTTTCAAACTCATGTGATCATCAAGTTTAATTTGAGTTTCCAGTGCCAGTATCAGATTTCAGATTAAGCTCAAGGTTCCTAGGAATAGGTACCATTAAGATGTGTGGTACGTTAATATGCCCTCCAATAAAAGGTGCACACTGACAAAATTCATGCTGTCCTCTCCAGACAGTTATGCAACTTTGGCTTTAGTCCACCACAATGCAGTAACAATTTTCATTTGTGACAAACTCCTTATATGTTCAGGTCTGGTCGCATTATGGTCACAAAGTTTCTACTGGACACATCCTTAGTTTTACACAATTCATTCTCGCTGTCAGTTAGACATTCTTAGTTATTGATAGGATACTAATGAGCCTCCTCTGAACCATGAAGAGTTAAATGAGCAACGTGGCATATTTTGGCATTTGTCTGACCCCTAGCTGCATTACTGACGGGGCTGTAAACCCACAGTGCTCTGGTACAGCTTGAAACTATTTTCTGTTTGTGGTCATAGGCATGGTTACATTAGGAAAGGAACAGGCTATGGTTATGAAATCTTGAAATATAATGAACTCAGTCTTTTAACTCAAACTCTAATTGCAACCTATATTACACATTTATACTCATTCTGACACCATAGCCATGAAGTTAACGCCACTACTTTTAGCTGTTGCGACAATTCCCCTGTGATGAACATTTGCTTAAAGTATGTTGTGTGTGCAGTCCATTTCACCATCAATGAGTTGATACATTGCTATGTTTGAGAACATGCGTGTTAGCTGAATCACTGGCATTAGGATATTGTTGGTAGAGGAACTATGCATACATAATCAGGTTATTTTCTCAAGTTTCATTCAAATGTCATTATGCACACAATGAACACAAACTACGGTAAATGTAAAGTGTTCCTCCTATCTCAGTTACAATTGCCTTATTAATTCACCTTATTAAAAATGGTCTCTTATCAAACACTGTTTTAATCAGTGTACCATATACCAGGACAAGACTTTACCACATTCAATACTGGGACAAATTCAGATTTTAACACATTCATACATGATTGTTTCAAGAACAAATGTACTGTACATGCAAACATTTGTTAAGTGAGCATTTATATCAGTATATATATAAAGTAAGTGGGTTTTATATCAGTAATGTCAACAAAACATTTTTTGTTGGAGAGTTGATTAAATAAACACACACACAACAATATCTCATGACATATGTAATGTTTAATGGTCAACAGTCAAAGCAAAGCTTATCATTCACAATATCTTATATCATGCATTTTAAAGACATGTTGCGGAACATTGGCGACTACTAATTATTTTATAAGCCTCCAGCTTTGGGCTGGATGTGCCAATGTGTCATTCATACATGCATAATCTATGAGCAGAATTACTGTTTTACCTCAATTAGCTACGAAATCCCAAGTTTGAAAGCGACTGTTTTTCTGGAAGCTATGCTGCGCCATTTTCCTAACATTTTCCCCACGGGCCAGCCCCCTAGCAATTCGAGTTCTAGTCAATGAGCTTCAGCCCCTCGCCATTTGAGTGACAGCTAGCAAGATGCACACACAGCAGAGCGAGAGCAATGACGTAGTACACAATTTTCAGGGACCGCTTTTGGCTCGTGAGCGCTACTTTCAGAAATATTGGCTAAAAAGTATACAAAAGTACTGTAGAATCTCTTTAACTGACAATGCTATTGTGGCACTATGTTGTAAACTATCAACTATATAAATACATCTACAATTAAAACAACAGGCAAAATCCTGAGAAAAAGTGAGAACAATGTCTTTATTATAATACAACCCTGCCCCTAAAGTCCAGACTCTCCTTGACAAGTCTCCAAATACATAGGTTGAAACCAATGAAACACATTCAAGAATGACACTGAAATAGCTAAAACCAATTAACACCCCGTTTCATCCCCAAAAACTGAACACAGCAAATATAAATTACAGGCATCGTATTTTCTAATACATTTATAAAGCTTTACCTTTGCCAAATGCAAATTGCCACACTAATTTGACTGTACAAACAATTTAATGTTACATAACTATTTTGACAAGTGTTAAGAGAATTTTGTGTAAAAATCAATAATACCGCAATAAAAGTGCTCCATTGAGTGTAAAACTGTTGATCACAGAATGCTTTTAGATCATCACTTTATGTGATTGAATAGACAACCTATTTCCACTCATACATCATACACTTCAACCGTCCGCCGTAACAATACAAAAGTGTGGTTACACAGGTCATAGACACATAGGAATGCTGTTATTGGGAAGGGGTCTCCTCAGGCCTACCAAACAAAGAGCAGATTCAATCCATGGCTGAACCTATTCATGCATTCATCCTGTGCTCATCAGTTTTTGCCAAGCTCACACTGGGCTGTTATAAAGCCATTCTAACTACCCACATGTCCTTTTGAACTGTCCTCTCCAATATATTGTTTAGTTGTAGGTCCGCATTTGGCTTCTTTGCAGTGTCATGTTGACTGAATTTACAACATTGTCATTCCAAACGCAAATGTCTTCAGCTTCTCAGTTGTTTTCTTGTGAGACTGTGGTTTCCTGTAAAGGACAAATGTGCAGTAAGTTAGACAATAGCACCAAGCATCATGATATGCATCAAAGGAGAAATTTGAGAGGAATCCAGCACTAAACCAATATTTGAAACCTGAATAAGCATTTATTTTGTCAATTCATTGAGGGGAAAGGTGGTAAGGTAAGTGGTAGTAGATCATTGTGTGCCCATACTCTTATCTTATCCTATGTGCAAGTGATGTTGTAATAGTGCTGGCCAGACAGGGGTTTGGTCAAGGTAAACTTGTGCAATTTGTGGATTTTAGATAAGCTCTCTGCTGTTGGCAAAGCCCAAGCAGAACTAGTCTGGTTCTGTTCCAGCCTAACAGCACCCAGCCAGCCTGAACATTAAAGCAGACTCCCACCTGCTCTATAGTTTAAAAGCTATTACCGTGTGGAATACAGTCTTTCTGTTACATATCTGACGGCCTCTGGAAACAGAATCCTGAAATTATTAACCTACCTTTGAAATATAAACTTATACGCATAGAAAATGCAGTAAATGTATTTTAAAATACTACGGGGGCGTCACTGAATTGCTGATTGTACTGTTATTTAATGGGTGGAAACAACTTAGACTTCCTGCGTAATTAAACATCTGTAAACATTTGGAAGGAAAAGTCAATGTAGCCTTAACAGTACAGATGTGTCTGCAGGCAACAGAATAGATAAGCTTTACAGAATAGTGTGAAGAGCTCACAAACCAGGTGCGTTGTCATGTTTAGATACCAAAATACATCTAATCTCATTATCCTATAGTCACCAAACATTAACTTTTACAACACTCAGTCTAGTTGAACAATAATTTTTACAACAATGCTGTTAGTTAATGAAGGTCCACACACCATCAAGTTTTTATAGTTTTCAAAACATGTTGTTTTTGTCATTCCATCTTAACTGCCTAAGATAAACTGCCAGCCATTTTCAGGACTTTTTTTCAAAGATATCCATGCGTCATTCACGGGACAACAACAGGTGTCCCATTGTTTCAATAAAGTTCTGGGACATTCGAATGAAATATAATGTCTGATTGTACTCTATAGACTTTCAACAGCAAGCCATTTGAATAATATAAACTAATATATGGCACCTTTCAACAATATTTTCACATATTGCATCACTCTCCTGTGGCTTGGGTGATGCACTTATCCGCTTAGGTAAAAGAAAGTTGTACAACTTTACCTCAGTGATTGGAGATAATATCTAGGGCATTAAGACTTAATAAGCCAATGTTGCAGTCAGAAGAACAGGTAATGATATGACTATGATAAGCTATACATCTATGGCTCTGTGTTTGGTCTATTTCAGAAAGAAGGCTTACAAATGGAGTCCTCTCTCCAAATTTGCTCCAGAACGTCATCTTGACAGTGTTCTTGTGTCCAGTCCGCTGGTCAAATGTCTGGCAGGTCTGGAAGGGGGGACTGTACAGGTGCAAACTGGCCGAACATTCTGTGTGACTGGCGTTCTCTACTCGGTGCAGCCCAAAGGAATCTAAAACAGATAAACATCACACATTTATAAGATATGGCACCAGAATGTGGAACATTCATGTATCACATAGCTGTGAGTTCCGCTTATGGTAATTTCACACCAAACACAGCACATAGAGTCCTAGAGTATACATTAAGAATTTGTATAATACGTACCGTATCCTTTTTTAACATATACAACTAGATTTCAGTCAATCAAATACATGAAAGTGAAGATATTCAGTTGTAAGTGGATGTTTATAAAGATATACATGCATATCGTCGCTGTCTGATTAAATTTTTCAGGAAAATGAAAAAAGTCCCATATTTTCCCATTAACGAACATACAATTATTAAACTTTAGAAGCTATTTGTATAAATGTTATTGGTCCTAGAGTCACTAAATGTTCAGAGTACATTGAGGGTAGTTGTTGCGTTCAATAAATAAAAAATAAAGAAGAACATGACAAAAATTGCGTTAAGACGTTTTCATCAGACATTTACATTTGAGTCATTTAGCAGACGCTCTTATCCAGAGAGACTTACAGTTAGTGAGTGCATACATGTGTATTTATAATTTCATACTGGTTCCCCGTGGGAATCGAACCCACAACCCTGGCGTTGCAAGCGCAATGCTCTACCAACTGAGCTACACAGGACTAACGGTGACGATACGATATTATGTATGTAAATCATATGAATAAATGCCTCCTTATGTTGTCTGACAAACAATGTTGAGGAAATACTAAACTGTCTTGAATCTTACCATTGATGTAGGCACACTGGTTTGTTTGTAGGATTCTCTGAGATTTTTGAACCATGTTGCATGTTTTTTTATCGGGCCATTCAAAAAGCGTTTCCTTCAGCTGGCCTTGCAGCAACTTCATGAAACAGTGGGAGTCTGTGTGGTCATGGATACTGCTGCAAGTGGTGGAAAACAGACAGTCTTAGAATGTGCCAGAACAGTGTTATGTGGGGCTCAGCAATCAAACATGTGGTTACGTGTATATACACGACCATTAGTTCTAAAATACAAGTCCTGTTTAAAGAGAAACTCTCTGCCTTTTGTGTTGTATATTACACATCTACTGACAAAAAGTACAACTTCACTTCTCAAACTATATTAGCTACAATGATGTACCTTTCTCTGTGCCTCAAACAACGCGACCAATTGTCCATATCTGTTTGTTTCAAAAGGGCAATTTATTATATGGTTACCAAAAATGTATTTATCTTTATGAAACTTGCATAACGTTGACTTTCACAAGAACATTGGACTTTGTTATCTCCATACACTTTCTACCTGGAGCCTGTTTCTTCATTTCACTAGACCTCTACTGATGTTCTATCTGACAAGTCATATATTGTAATTACACTGGTTCTGCCAATATATACACTGCTATAGACATAGCACCTTAATGACCATATTAATTCTGAAGTAAGAGGGATTTCATTGCCTCAGATCAAATAACTTGCATCATTGTTCAAAAAAAATGTCTTACCTGCCGTGACCCTCTCCCCAACAGAGTATCATGAGGTTGAACTTTCCATTCCCTTCATCCACCAGGTTCCTTGTGTACCTGGAACACAAATATTACCCCAATACTGTAAATGCATAACATCTGTCACAAATACTAATGCCAAGCAGTGACATTCACATTCTTGAAGGTAAAGCTCATTAGTTTGCACTGTCAGTTGAGGCATAATTCTCTCGAGTTACACAGTTAGTGCCAGAATAAGACCAGAGGAATAGGGTTTTGAAAAGATGGATTGCAATGGATTTTGTTACCAGTTGTGGGACTTCATCAGAAAACTTTAAAATGATGTTTTAGCACCACACTGTTTTATCCACTAATTTCCGTAATTCTGTGCAAAGACCTACAAATGCTACTCTCAAATTCACCACAAAATGCTAGGCTTTTGATAGAGCCCCTTCTTAAGTGATTGACCTATATACATTTATTAGGAGTACTGCAAAAGGAGTATTAATATCAGATTATATAGAACCGCAAATGGCCCAGCTCACGTCTCTACTCATAAATTATATTACGTCTAGACATTACGTCTATAAAGTAATTCGAGTAAGACACGTTGTTCCCTCGTTCTGCATGGGTACACTGGTCACGTTTTCGAGCGCATAGAAATTCGTGTTTTTGTGGCAGCTGCATTCCCAAGTGTGTGATCATACCGCAAACGCAAAATGATTCTGCTTCTAAATTCTGATTGGCGGACGGGTTCCCACCCCCCATTTACCCCCACAAGAACCAAAACAACCCCCAGTTTATGGTGCAAGCCGGGAAAACTGTGGATAGAGCGTTTTCTTTTGTTGAAGGACACAATGAAACTCACGTTGAAAGTCTCATTCTGTTGTAAACATCTTCGAATGTAACTTTTTGAACATTTTAAAGTGAGAGCATGCATGCCTGGCTATAATTGACAAATATTAAATCTATTGCTTAGGCTTTTTTACATGGCAAGTTTAATATAGTTATGCTTTTTTTAGTAGCCTATTCAAATTAGTTTTGCAGTTAAAATGCAACATGTAGGCTATATTAACAATATAATAGATTGCAAATATGAGAGATATCACACTGCCGTTAAATCCCATGAGAAGAAGCCTTTGTCATGCGTTGAATGTGTATAGGGCCTTTGCCTGCTGATATCTTGTGCTACACATTTCAAGTTAAAGTTTTCACCAGCACCCCACCAATTTCAAGTTAATGACTGGAGTTTTTGCAATTCATTGTAATACTATTAGTTGCAGGATTTCACGATAAGGTGATAACTGCATATAGCCTAATTAGTGATATGTGTGTATTTAAACAGATTTTTTAAAGTAGTATGTTTATCATCAGGCCATAGGATATATTTTAAATTAAACAGGCCTACTCAATAAAAACGATATAAGAGCTATAATAATAATAATACTTTTCGAAATAATAAACATAGGCCTATTTATTAGTTGTTGTTTTTACCTGAACTGGTCGAATTTTGCAAATTTCATCCATTCCTGTGGATTGCTGTCATATGCTTCCATTATATTTTGCACCTCCTCCACATTGATATTGTCACTTTCAAAGATTTTATGCAAAATTTTGATCAGATCGTCAAGAGTTTCTGGTTTCATCACTTCGGTTTGCTCCATGGTTAAGCGCGTATTTATCCCCGTAAGCTTGCTTTCTAACTAACTTTTCAGTATCGCCTAGTCTTTATAGCGTCGCCTACTCTTTTTGGGGCCAACTTTTGTTGGACTGTACCATTGTGAAAAAAGTTGAACGTATCAGTTAAAATATGAAAAACCTTTATGGGAATAACATCAATATTTAAAATCAACATTAACATTGTAAATAATACCAGGTGTTTTATTTACAAGATACACTTAATGTCTAGGTGTTATAATATTCTTAATTATTTACACCCACATCAAGAACTTGGACCAATCCTTGCCTTGGCTGCAGCTGTTAACAAAATATTTTATATCTTTTCAGGATTCTTTTATTTGGCTTTGACAATCTAGAATAGCCCCCTGACCCTCATAATGAGGCAGGTCTCAGGAATTGAGGCAACAACGGAGAGAGAGAGAGCAGAGTTTTAGTAGCCTATTCAAATGAGTAGGCGCAGCGGTCTAAGGCACTGCATCTCAGTGCTTGAGGCGTCACTACAGACCCCCTGGTTCGATTCCAGGCTGTATCACAACCGGCCGTGATTGGGAGTCCAATAGGGCGGCGCACAATTGGCCCAGCGTCGTCCGGGTTTGGCCGGTGTAGGCCGTCATTGTACACAATAATTTGTTCTTAACTGACTTGCCTAGTTAAATAAAGGTTAAATAAAAAATAACAATACAAAAATAACAAAACAACACGTGAGAGAATTAAATCAAGAGTTTAATTTAAAACATAATTATATTTCTCTGTTTCAGACAGTGACATTGATTTGTAATAATAACTATTAGATAGTATTTTATGCTAATAACAACATTAAGAAAAATCAAGATAATATTTTGTTATCATTGTTGGTTATATAAGGAGAATATGCCTATTTACAGTCTATCAGATCATAGGCTATTGTATTGTATAGAACCACTTAAGCTTTTCATACATCATCTGTGCAAACTACCGATTTGGAGCTCACATCCAGTCATTTAAGTGTAATGGCAGTTGGGCGGTGAACTACACTGATGAGTAACCCTGCCTGAGACCTGAAGAGTTGCGTTAGCTCCCAGAGTAAATGCTTTAGCTCAGCGGGCTAACACAATCTCGTGGCGCAAAGTTACAAACCACTTGGTCACATTGGTACCATGTCACAGATTCACAGTGGTGTAAAGTACTACTTAAATAGTTTTTGGGGGTATAGAGAATGGCGCCGGAGAGGATGGCTGATGTTTTACGGGCTCCTAACTATTTGTACTATTTTGTGTGTTTTTTCGTATTGTTTGTAACTTATTTTGTACATAATATTGATGCTACAGTCTCTTAAACCGAAAAGAGCTTCTGGATATCAGAACAACGATTATTCACCTCGAACTGGACAAATATTTTTTTCTTTAATGAGTCGGTCGCAAAGGATATAATGTTGCTCCCAGACAAGGCCCAAATCCCCGTCATTCGCCTGAAGAAAATAAGGAAATACAAGGGGCGGAGATCAGGGTGCCTTGTGAGAATTAGTCGGCGAGTGGGTAACCTGCCTCTACCATTCGTTCTATTAGCCAACGTGCAATCACTGGAGAATAAACTGGATGAGCTCCGTTTGAGACTATCCTACCAATGGGACATTAAAAACTGTAATATCTTATGTTTCACCAAGTCGTGGCTGAATGACGACATGGATAAAATAAAGTTGACTGGGTTTTCCGTGCATCGGCAGGACAGAACAGCCTTGTCTGGTAAGACGAGGGGTGGGGGTGTGTGTCTATTTGTCAATAACAGCTGGTGCACAATGTCTAATGTTAAGGTAGTATCGAGGTAAGCTGTATATTTTTCGTAGTCATCTATTTACCACCACAAACCGACGCTGGCACTAAGACCACACTCAATGAGCTGTATAAGGCCATAAGCAAACAAGAAAATGCTCATCCAGAAGCAACATTCCTAGTGGCCGGGGACTTTAATGCAGGCAAACTTAAATCAGTTTTACTTAATTTCTACCAGCATGTGACATGTGCAACCAGAGGGAAAACAACTCTAGACCACCTTTACTCCACACACAGAGACGCATACAAAAATCTGACCATAATTCTATCCTCCTGATTCCAGCTTGCAAGCAAAAACTAAAGCAGGAAGTACCAATGACTCACTCAATACGGAAGTGGTCAGATGACACGGATGCTATGCTACAGGACTGTTTTGCTAGCACAGACTGGAATATGTTCCGGGATTCATCCAATTGCATTGAGGAGTATACCACCTCAGTCACCGGCTTTGTCAATAAGTGCATCGACGACGTCGTCCCAACAGTGACCATACGTACATATCCCAACCAGAAGCCATGGATTACAGGCAACATCTGCACCGAGCTAAAGGCTAGAGCTGCCGCTTTCAAGGAGCGGGACACTAATACGGACGCTTATAAGAAATCCTGCTATGCCCTCAGACGAACCATCAATCAGGCAATGCGTCAATACAGGACTAAGATTGAATCCTACTACACCGGCTCTGACGCTTGTCGGATGTGGCAGAGCTTGCAAACTATTACGGACTACAAAGGGAAACCCAGCCACGAGCAGCCAGTGGCGCAAGCCTACCAGACGGGCTAAATGCCTTTTATGCTCGCTTCGCGGCAAGCAACACTGAAGCATGCATGAGAGCACCAGCTGTTCCGAATGACTGTGTGATCACGCTCTCTGTAGCCGATGTGAGCAAGACCTTTAAACAGGTCAACATTCACAAGGCCGCAGGGCCAGACGGATTACCAGGACGTGTACTCAGAGCATGCACTGACAAACTGGCAAGTGTCTTCACTGACATTTTCAACCTCTCCCTGACCGAGTCTGTAATACCTACATGTTCCAAGCAGTCCACCATAGTCCCTGTGCCCAAGAAAGCGAAGGTAACCTGACTAAATGTCTACCGCCCCGTAGCACTCACGTCGGTAGCCATGAAGTGCTTTGAAAGGCTGGTCATGGCTCACATTAACACCACCGGAAACCCCAGACCCACTCCAATTCGCATACCGCACCAACAGATCCACAGATGACGCAATCTCAATCGCACTCCACAGTGCCCTTTACCACCTGGACAAAAGGAACACCTATGTGAGAATGCTGTTCATTGACTACAGCTCAGCGTTCAACAGCAAAGTGCCCTACATTCAAGGAAAGAGTAGTTCAACCAAGCTACTCACTCTCACAATGAACAATCACTCACAAAGGACAAGGGGGCAGAGGGAACACTTATACACAGACTAATGAGGGAATGAGTACCAGGTGTGTGTGATTGACAAGACAAGACAAATGGAGTGATGATAAATGGAGCGGTAGTGGCTAGTAAGCCGGTGACGACGAATGCCGAAACCTGCCCGAGCAAGGAGGAGGGGCAGCCTCGGCTGAATTTGTGACAGTACCCCTCCCCTTGATGCGCAGCTCCAGAAGCGCGCCGACACCGGCCTCGGGGACGACCAGGAGGACGCGGAGCAGGGCGAGTCGGATGGCGACGATGGAAGTCCCTCAACAGAGAGGGATCGAGGATATCCCTCACCGGGACCCAGCACCGTTCCTCCGGACCGTACCCTTCCCACTCCATGAGGTACTGAAGGCCCCCCACCCGGCGCCTCGAATCCAGTATGGAATGGACAGAGTACGCCGGCACCCCCTCGATGTCCAAAGGAGGTGGAGGGACCTCCCGCACCTCAGACTCCTGGAGCGGACCAGCCACCACCGGCCTGAGGAGAGACACATGAAACGAGGGGATAATACCGTAATCAGGGGGGAGTAATAACCTATATGTGACCTTGTTGATTCTCCTCAGGACTTTGAACGGCCCTACAAACCGCAGGCTCAGCTTCTGGCAGGGCAGGCGGAGGGGCAGAATCCGGGTCGAGAGGCAGACCTCACTGTGGTGACGGTCAGCGTTGGCCTTCTGACGACGCACGGCGCGTTGGAGGTGAACATGTGCAGCGTTCCACGTCTCCTCCGCACGCCGAAACCAGTCATCCACCGCAGGAGCTTCGGTCTGGCTCTGGTGCCACGGTGCCAGAACCAGTTGATAACCTAAAACACACTGAAATGGCGTTAGGTTCGTAGATGAGTGGTGGAGAGAGTTCTGGGTATATTCTGCCCATTGCAGGAACACCGACCACTCCCCCGGCCGGTCCTGGAAATAGGACCTCAGGAACCTACCCACATCCTAATTTACCCGTTCCACCTGCCCATTACTCTCAGGGTGGAACCCAGAGGTCAGGCTGACCGAGACTCCCAGACGTTCCATGAACGCCTTCCAGACTTTTGACGTGAACTGGGGACCTCGGTCAGACACTATATCCTCTGGTACCCCGTAGTGCCGGAAGACGTGAGTAAACAGGGCCTCCTCAGTCTGCAGGGTCGTGGGGAGACCGGGCAGAGGAAGGAGGCGGCAGGCCTTCGAAAAGCGGTCCACAATGACCAGGATGGTGGTGTTCCCTTGAGAGAGAGAGGCAGATCAGTTAAAAAATCAACACTCAAATGAGACCATGGTCGTTGTGGAACTGGTAAAGGTTTTAGCTTTCCCGCTGGGAGGTGCCTAGGTGCCTTACTCTGGGCGCACACTGAACAGGAGGAAACATACACCCTCACGTCCTTAGCCAAGGTAGGCCACCAGTACTTTTCAGTCAGGCAGCGCACTGTACGACCGATACGTGGGTGACCAGAGGAGGGTGACGTGTGTGCCCAGTAGATCAAATGATCACAGATAAGCTCAAGGACATACTACTGCATCCCAGCTGGACACTGCGGTGGAGATGGATCTGTGCGTAATGCCTGCGCTATATCCGCGTCCATCGCCCATACTACCGGCGCCAAAATGCATGAGTCCGGCAGTATGGGGGTGTTGTCTCCTGGCCTCTCCTCTGTATCATACAGCCGGGACAGTGCGTCTGCCTTCACGTTCTTCGTACCCGGAATGTATGACAGTGTGAAATCAAACCGGGTGAAGAATAGGGCCCACCTGGCCTGACGAGGGTTCAGCCTCCTCACTGCCCAGATGTACTCCAGGTTACGGTGGTCCGTCCAGACGAGGAATGGGTGTTTCGCCCCCTCGAGCCAATGTCTTC